TTACAGACTAATTTTTGGAAATACTTGTCACTTACCAGTAGAATTGGAGCATAAAATATATTGGGCGATTAAAGAATTTAATTATAATTTGAAAGATGCTGGTAAGAAGAGAATGTTACAATTAAATGAATTGGAAGAATTAAGAAATGAGTCTTATGATAACGACAGAATTTATAAAATAAAACTAAAGTTAGGGTATGATCAGAAGATTAACCAGAAGAACTTTGAACCAGGACAAGAAGTTTTGCTTTACAACACTAGGCTGAAATTATTCCTTGGGAAATTGAAGTATCATTGGTTAGGACCCTTTACTATGACTCAAGTTTATACTTACGGAGCTGTTGAAATTGAAAATCAGAAGACGAGAAATAAATTTAAAGTAAATGGACACAGATTAAAATCATATTATGAGGGTAAAAGAGCTGACCCCACTTCATTCCTGTTAGATTACTACCAACAAATCATTTGACCGATGTAACAAAGGATAGAGCTGCATTGAACTATTGCATTTAGACCATGAAAGCAATGGATGTTGGTGCTCTTATAGTTCATCATGCACGGAGCATAGCTAAGAGCTCTACAACTAGTGTTTTGGGTTATCCTGCTCTGATTTTCACTCTTTGTGAGCAATCAGGAGTAGAATCCCATAGAAATGAAGAAAAATTACAGCAAAAAAATCCTATTGGGAAACATATGATTCAGAGAGTTAAATCATTTGTTGAATCTAGTGGCGGAAGAAGCAATAGACCCTCTACATCAACTGCAGGGGCATCAACTTCTCGCCCTGCATCATTAGAAAACATTATGGACCAACTCATGATTCAAAAGTTGGATATAGTAAATATTCAGAATCAGATTGGAGAGATTGGAGCAAGAAATGTTTATAATGATGAGTATTAGTAGAGGAAAGTTCAGCATGATATAGCTTTTGAGGATGTTATGATGAGGTATCTTAGGGGTGAATATAATGTGGAATTTCCTACTTGCTCCAGCTTTACTCCATTTGCTCCTATTCATGATCATGATAAAGAAGAAGAAGAAGAAGATGATGATGATGATGATGATGAGGAAGGTGATGAAGATTGATACTTTTTGGAGTTAGTTTATTTGTTTTGTTTAGTTACTTGATTGTTTGTATGTCGTTTGAGTATGTTGTTTGGATTTTATTTGGTTGGAATTTGAAACTGTAGTAGTAAAGATTTTTATTTTTGCATTGTAGATTTAAAATGGTAATAGTAACTGTAGACTTTTACTTTTTCTGTATTCTCTAGTATTTTTCAGTTTTTGTTTTTATTTTTAAATCTCAGAGGATTCTTTAAAATATATTATGTCTCATTTAATGCTTAAAAGTATGTGTGTATTTATAAAGTTAGTGTCTGCAGTATATCAGAGCCTAGTTTCATAGTAAAAAAACCTCTATAGGTTAGTTTTTATTTTATGCATTTAATGTTTTCTTTCATCAATTGAATTTTGTACTAAAACATTTTTTAAAAAAAATACTTAAAAACTTAAGTTTGGGGGAAAGAAAAATTTCTTTTTTTAAAACAAAAGAAGTAAACTAAATTTTATTTGTCCTTAAGTAAAAATAATTTTAAAATTAATTTAACATGACTTGGGATATTAAGATTAAACTTTAAATGACTATACTTAAGTTTATGAATATTATGGTAAATTTAGGTAAAAGTTTTTAATAATAAAGGTCAATTCTAATGTTAAGGATATTTGGTAAGATAATGCGGCACTAAAAAGAAGGTTGAGGGTTGTGAAGTTGTCGGTTGCCAGGATGGATATCCCAAGACCCGTTTTAATTTAATTTAATATATAATTTGAAAAAAATAGTATTTTATATTTTTGAGAATACTAGGCTGGACCGATCTCATGTTCACATTAGTTTAAATAACTGAGCCTAATACATCAAATAATGTATTCATCCCAAAGGATAAACACACTACTTATTGATAATGCTTGATTAAAAAAACTAAAGATTGTATGACATCCGTTAAGTCTGCGAAACCATTTTTATTATAAGCCAACAAGTTCTCTTATTTAATACGAAATATGGTTTATATTAAGTTGGGTTCGGAAATTCTTCCTATAAGGGCAAGTCCCTATAGTTAATTACATCCTAGATAATTGAAGTCACCTAAGAAAACTCTCGATAAAAATCAGGGGATATTATCTTCAAGGAGTTCAAAGGAATATGACTTTTCAAGGAAATCAGACAAAGAGGTGTGAAAGGGGAATGACTCAAACTTGGAACATTTTATGGAACCCAAATGAAGAGAGATGAGGGAATGTCACATATCCTGAGGATAATAACCAATTAAAATATACCAGTAAAGATATAAGTTTTTGTTCTCATCAAACATACCATTTATAAAGCTTATTCATAATATATTAATAATCAATAACATTTAACTTAGAAGTTTTAATAACAGCCCTAATATAGGTAAAAAAAAGGCATAAAACTAAAACCATTGAAGTTACATTAGTAATTCTACATAAATAATGTAACAGCTTTTGAAAGGCATATAATAGATTTTAAATAGTTATCGATCAAATTTGAAGCAAAACAAAAATTATTAATATTATCCATAAGAGACTCGATAAAATAGATGTCGGCCTTATCTAAGATTAATAAAACACCAGTATAAATTAAATGAGATGTATTGCAATCAACTTGATCTAGCTACATTTGATTCTGACCATCTAAAAGTGAAGAATGAGAATCCTAAATAATGACTGAAAGATACGGAGAAGAGGACATCCTTAACCAAGACTACTTGAAGAAGAAAACTAATCATTCATGTCACTATTGACTTTAACAGAGTAATGAACATTAGAAATATAAGATTTAATCAAACTAATAAAAATTAAGGGAAAACCACCCATTTTCTCCATTCTATAAAAAAGAATGATCTATTAACACTAGCAAAAGCTTTTCTAATATAAACTTTGGAAAAAAACTTATCCAAAGAATTAGAGAAATTAAAACCAAATAACATTTCGTTAGCAAAAAAAATATTATCAGTAATATCACACTCTTTGATGAAATCAACATGAGTCGGATGAATAATATTAGTAAGAAAAATTTTAAGCTTATTAACAAGAAGTATAGAAATGATTTTATATAGTGTATTACAAAGAGAGAAATGTATAAAATCATTAAAATTTTTAGCATCTGAATTCTTTGGAATTAGAGTGATGATAGATGATTAATTTTATGAGCCAATTTAGCAGTTTTAAGGAAATAAATGATAGTTTTTAATAATCATCAGCAACAATATGACAAACACCTTTAAAAAACTTAAGGAAAAAATCATCAAATCCAGAAAATTTATTGCTGCCAATATCATGAAAGCATTCTTAATATCTTCATTATAGAACTCAGAAATAAAAATAACAGATTCACAATTAGTAACAAATTTATGCATAGGGAAATAATTAGCAAAAGAAAAAGAAATCTTCACCCTGACTAGTAAGAATATTTCTAAAAAAGTTTAGTCTAATTAACAATCTCTTTATGAATATGAGTATGTCTATTAACAACAAAAACTTCTTTAATAAAATTAGTACTATTCCTGATATTAGTTTTCTCATAGAGAAATTTAATATCATCATCTTCTTCCCTATGCCAAGAACACTTACCCCTTTGCTAAACCCGCTTATATTCACAAACAAGAGCATTATGACAACTTTTTTATTAGAAGAAAACTCAAAAAGTAAATTTATAGAAAGATGACTAATGCTCATGTGTTTCACAATAATCTTTTGATTGTCCTTAAGATCAATAGTTAAATTAGAAATAGAATTAAAACTATTCCAATTCTAACTTTCTAAAGCCAACTCGAAATTTTTCAAATTATTAGAAATAACAAAAAGAGGATCACTATTAACCCGAACATTCCAAGCTAAATTTACAACTTCAAAAAAAAAATGATAATGGCTCCTAAAGTTCTTATAAATAAATCCACATCTAGGTTTAAAAGACTCACCCAAAGATATAAAAATTCGATAAAGTCGCCATCTAATAAGTATTACAAAAAAAACTCTATAAAAAAGACATAATTAGGGAATCCAATTGATTATCATACCAACTAAAAGCATGATCCTTATTATGAAGCTCTATAAGGTTAGAATAAAGAATACAATTACTAAAATCCACAAGCTTATTAGAAAATAGGGGAATCCATTTCTCAAATTTTTCTAATACAACTAAAGCCACCCTAGACCAACCAAAAAACTTGCATATTAATAGAAATTAATTGAATATCTCTCCATAAAATCTTTTCTAAATAAAGCATTATTATCAACCCATAAAACATTAACAAAAAAATATTCATGAATATTTTTGGAGCATTATTGTCTCATACAATTAAATACACTTATGTAGGGCTGTCAAAACGGCTCGTTGTTCACAAACAACTCGTGTTCGGCTCGTTCGCCAAGGTAACG